CATCCATCCATGTGTCAAGCACATTTGTGCATTTGTTGCCATCATCATTCTCAAAACATTTACTTTCTGCTTGAGCCCTTGGTATCAGCTCCTAAGAAAAGCCCTTTTATGAAAGCGTTTGCTTGAATACGTAATTTGCTGTTTGCTGGACAAAATATGATTCGCCTAGGATCCCAAGTTCCTCCTCTGTTTTGCAAATCTGAAATATGGCCCACACAGACTCTGGGTTGATTTGTTTTTCTGGTGGCTTAAATGTTGAAAACTGTTGGGCAGGGGCGACTGAAATAAATCTAACTTCACCATAAGTATGGATGTACTGCTGGTCTCCACCACCCAAGCCGTGGCTTACGTGTGGACTGGTTTGACTTGAGAACCAGCAGTTTTAATAATAATACAAAAACCACCTGATTCATGCTAGCCTGGTGGTAGTGAAGGTGGACCTGTGGACGAGGAGCATGTCTCCCTCCGGTGGCCACTCTTTCATACTACAGGAGAACGAAACCCAGACGTAAATGGTTGGGTGCCTTCCAGTTGGTTTCTGCTCAGGTAACAGGGTAGACCTGCCCACAGGGGCTTCCTGGGTGTAAATGCTACAGAAGCAGGTCTCTAGGTCTTTAGCCCACAGAGCTGCTGAGTGGGTTTGAACTACTAACCTTTCAGTCAACTATCAACTTAATCGCTTGCTACATGATTGGGAGGCAGTTACAAAGCACAAGAAATGGGGCGGTATCTAAGAACCTAGATTTTTTGTCTTCTAGTTCTGGGGACCAGAAGTTCCAATCAGCATGATTCATGGGCCACATTCTCTCGCTCTCCTTCGGGGGAAGCCCCCCTGTATCTCTGCTTTCCCTGCTCTGGCTTTGGCTTACTGCTGCAACATATTTCCATCTGTCTTCTTGTGCTTCTTATCATTTATAAGAGCACTCAGACGGAACTGAGGAGCCCTGGGGGGTGTAGTGGTTACACATTGGGCTTTGATTCTCAAGGTCAGCCGTTTGAAACTACCAGCCACTCCTTGGGAGAAAGATGAGACTTTCTACTCCCGTAAAGCGTTACAGTCTCACAAACTTACAGGGACAATTCTATCCCGTCCTTTAGGGTCACGGTGAGTTGGCATCAACTTGGTGGCAGTGAGTTTTGAATTCAGACTGAATTTGGACTTATCCTGCTCCATTATGACCTCGGGTTAACCGATAACATCTTCAAAAGACCCACTTTCCGAGCAAAATCAGATTCACAGGTACCAGGGATTCGGGGTTTAACGTTTCCTTATGAGGACACAATTTAATCCAGAACAAATATGTTTCAAGAACTCATCTATCCGCGCTATAGTGGGAAGATTTACAAACATAAGTGAAACCCATTCTCCTCTTGAGATATAGAGTCCCTCTGGGACAGACCGAGATTCTCTGCTCACAAAGGTGCCCTGATCAAGCTTTCGGCTACTAGCCAAAGGACTGGGGGCTGGAGACCCGCCCCCACGACCCCCTGTGGCTCTGTGGAAGAAAGACCTAGTAATCAGCTCCCATGAAGATTAAAACCAAACCCACAGCCATCGAGTCGGTGCCGACTCACAGCAACCCTAGAAGAAAGGGTAGAACTGCCCCTGTGGGTTTCGGAGACTGTAACTGTCAACCAGAGTAGAAAACCTCAACTTTCTCCCAAGGAGCAGCTGGTGGTTTCAAACTGCTGACCCTGCATTTCACAGTCCAGTGAGTAACCACTATGCCGCCAGGGATCCCAGAGACCTGGTCATCTGCTCCCATGATGATTACAGTCTGTAGCATAAGGTCATAGTGTATTTAAAGTTACCTTGATAACATCCAACAACTGTTTTCACAAGAGTTTCCCTAGGAAATTTTATCCACACTGTGGCTTGAATGTCAAATCCCAACTATTGATTTATAAACCCCCTGCCCTCGGAGTGCTTGGCTTGTGTGCCCCAAACTGAGCTTTGTATCCTCTTGCCTAATCCACTTTGCCAGCCACCTCTACTTCAGCCAGCCACCCCCATTTAGCAATTCCATTAAGCCAGAAACCCAACCCACACCGGGACTACCGCTCGCTAGTCCATTGCCATCAACTTGGTTCGGGCTCATAGCGATCCTGTAGGACAGAGTAGAACTGCCCCATAGGGTTTCCAAGGCTGAGGATCTTTATGGAAGCAGACAACCTTATCTTTCTTTCATGTGGAAACTGGCGGGTTCCCACCACGACCTTACAGTAGCAGATCAGCACTTCACACCGTGCTTCCTTATAAATAGGAAGAGAAGTCACGAATAGGCCCCTACATTGTATGATAAACTGATTAATAGAGTAGTGAATCCAGTCGGCATATTAAGAAAAGGTCGCAATTTCTTGCTGATCTGGCCTGGTTTGCAGGCATCGATGAAGATTATCTGAACACAGTACTCTATCACAAGGAGGCGATCAATGACAAATTGGTAAGTATGTGTGAAGGTTAATGCCATGTGATAACTTGCTTAGGCCATGATTCTCAGTGTGATGTCATTATCTTCCATTTTGTGATCTTATATAAGAATTACCTTAGGGATGTAGCTGCATCCAATATATGGGAACATTTTGGCAAAACTCACACACTCTTGATCCTGCATCCAACTCCTCATCCTTTGACCTCTGGTTCTGGGCAGCCCACTGCCTGACCTGCTCACACAGCCCCCGGAGCTGGCAGCCTGCTGGCTGACGTGGCTGGTTTCAGGTTCATCAGCCCCCGACTCCCCCACCATATTTTTAATTGTTTTGATTGTACAATAGGTTGCATTTATCACAGAATTATCTTTTATTTTTTTAGTTAAATTAATTTTGTTTATAAATCATTTTATTGAGGGCTCTTACAGCTCTTATGATAATGTATACATCAGTTGCATCAAGCACATTTGTACATATGTTGCCATCATCATTTTCAAAACATTTTCTTTCTATTTGAGCCCTTGGTATCAGCTCATTCCCCCCTTCCTCCCTCCCTTGCGAACCCTTGATAAATTATAAACGATTATTATTTTCATATCTTACACCATCTGTTGTCTCCCTTCACCCACATTTCTGTTGTTCATCCTGGGGGTTGGGGGTGGGTGGGTGGGGCAGCATTCTAAAACCAATGCAATTATTTAGACTGTTGCTGATAAAACACATTCAGGGTCATGGTTGAAGGGGCCCAGGTGGAGTGGATGGTTACACGCTCCACTGCTAACTGCAAAGTCGACACTGGGACCCACCAGGAGCTCTAAGGCCATTTAGTGCAGATTCCCAAACTCCCAAAACAAACTCATTGCCACCACGCCAGTTCTGACTCATAGCAACCCTGTTAGATCTCTCTGGAGCTAGATTTATACCTCGGTCCTTGGCTCGGCGTGAGAAAGAATTCACGCCGAAGCCTGGTTCGTGATCGAAGTGAGTTTTATGAAAGTTAGAGGAAGTTTCAGGTTTACACGGCACCCAAGGGGCTCCTCCCGGACATGCGACCTAGCTGGAAGCGGTTCTGTGTCCCGCAAAGCGTGTCCCAAAGCCCTGCCAAAGCTCTCTGTGCCTAAGTTCTCTCTCCTCTCCGGGCTGCTGCCTTTCTAAGGATTCCACAGGGAGGCGTGGTGGAAGACCCCTGATCGACCCCATTGGCTGAATTGAATTTACCTGGCTAGGTGATCCAATTCAAGTTCACGCCCACCCCTGCCTACCGGCGGGAACCCTAAACATGTTCGGTGCGCCACTCCTTTGTTTCCCTAGCTTGACCCTCTGGGCACGCGTTAATGGACATCCCCCAGTCCTATGCTGGCCTACCTAACAACCCTACAGATAGGGCAGACCTGCCCTTAGGGGTTTCCAACACTATGGCTCTTTCTGGGAGTAGAGAGCCTGTCTTTCTCCCCCAGTAAAACTCCATGGGAAAGTTCTACTCTGTCACACGGGGGTCACTATGAGTAAAACTTCCCTTGATAGAACCTAATGACAACACTGTCACATTGTAGAAACAGAGCCATTGGTCATTTGTTGCTAATACTAATATGTCAACTTCCTCTATACAGCAAATCTACCTAACAATCAGTAATTGATTCCCGTAGCACTTCATAAAACATACAACTTT